GTACATACATATATACATGCATACATATATATATATAATATGTGGCACCTAGGTTAAATTACCATGCTGGAGCTTGATTAGGTAAAAAGGTGGCTAAACAAATAATCAAAATAAAGCATAAGGGTGAAAAATGTCAATTTAAGTTAGAAAAAACACCAGACCTCCGTTTCGTTCCACATTTTGACTAGCTCGAGTGGCGGTGAAAGGCACATAGAGTCACAAATATATACAAAAAATAATGTTCGGACGATTTGACGTGGTAATTTTCCAAACTTATGACGCCCGTGAATGCTTTGCACTAGGCTGGTGCAGAAAGTTCCAATGGAGATGACGATTATATTAGACAAGAAGAACCAAGCTGCAAATTGAATTTTGCCGCAAACGCATTGTCTGGAGCAGCAAGAATAAGTTAATCCGTACTAATAATAGTTGTGTTGTCTTTTAACTGCTTAAAATTATTTAACAGGGTTTGAAATGTTCTAAGAATGAAAGGCTATTATAAGTGTTTGTTCGATTTTAGATGATAAGTAATTTATCACCTAAAACAGCAAATAGGACAAGTGAGAGATTATAAATAGCTCAAGATGATAAACGGTAATGTAGATAGGTACACATGTGTGGGACAGTTGCTGATGGCCAATATAGGACTGGGAGTTTGGAGCGATGTAGTAATTTTATTATTGGCCAAAGTGCATGGCCCTAAGGCGAAAAAATGAAGAGGAAAATGTCTTCAAGTTAATCAAAAGATGTTTTCCGTATTTTTGTGGATAGTATGGTCGACAAAAAATGGGAAGGTGCTTCACGTGGAATGAGCTCTCCTCGCTCCAGTTTCAATTTTCGATATCTGTTCATTGACTGCGGCGGCTCTCGTTGCGTTCTCCGACCGAAAGTATCCCACATTCTTCGTCTTTAAAGTCTCATCGACTACCACGGATTCTCGCTGTACTTCGCAGAAGCTTTGCTGTTGCATTCCTGTTTACTGCTCATCAAAATTAACGGCTTTCGCTATGTTGTCGAACCGACGGCACAACGACCCCGCAGTTGCCGGCTTGCCTTTATCAATTATCAACTCGAGCACTACGGTGCGGTTTTCGATGTCTCGATGGCCCCCTGACAGTTTTGCACCCTAGGCGCCATTTAAAAAAGCTATGAAAGCAATTACCAATGAAAGAGACGAAATCGGAAGTTGCTGGCATCTGATCAGCAACCATGAGCATCAAAATAAACATTGCAAGTAGAGTAGTTATGCCCATCGTGATTTTTTCTCTCCTCTCGTCTCCAGTTGAAGCTGGTGTAAAGAAACCAACAATCGCCACTGCAACACGCTAATATGCAAATGATTTTTCGGAAATTATAGCAACAGCAAGACTAGTAAAGACAAATTTCTCCGTACCATATAATAAGAAAAATCGTTAGATCGAAATTACAAGTTTTACGACTCGTAGAAGATTCTTTTGACAAACTTTTATATTAGTTACAAGATGCTGGAGCACTTTAACAAAATAAGTCGAACGAGGCTTAATTAGTAGATAAACGCTATTTTTAAAAACAATAGAAAACCAAATCAAATCTGTAAACTGCTTTATGAGGCGAGATCGAGTTTGTAGGACGCTATATTTCTCAGTCTGCTGTGCAAACAGGAAGAGTATGGCAAGTTTTAGGTAGAAGCAATAACTGAAACTTAAAAGACCCGTGAAAGGCACTTTCACGGTGCAATGCTCTGGCGTTGCAACAGTCTGCAAAAACGCATATTATTAAAACTGAAGTACCTGCACTCGGCGCTTTTTTGGACACCCGCCTTAAAGTTCGCTAACTTTTGTTAAAGCTTACTGGACAGAAAGCTACCTAATGTGATAATTGTTGTTGGTATGATGAGATTGACGACATAGTACAATGGCTTCCTTTTAATGATAAGAGATCCTTCGATGATGACCCATGGCTCGGGACAGCAGGCGTACGTGTACTGCAATGAAGCTGCTTTATGGTACCACACATTCAGTGAAACAAATATCTGTACTCTAATCATATACAATAAAAGGGCACTAAATCAGTTGATTTCAGTCGAGCTGGAGAGTGGTTCCTTGTACCTTTTAGGTTTGCGTAGCAAGCGTCATGCTACTAAGTGCAGTTGCAGTGTCGAGTTAAGACGTTCCGAACTTAATGGATCGAGTCGTCTTATTTTATTTTTTCATAGCTTTCTAGCCTCTAGTTCCCTTTCTTTCCTTGCACTTCAACTTTGCCATAGCATCCTGTATACAAGTAATTCAACGCAAAGGAGGCTGCAAACTAAGTGAAAAGTTCTGGACTGCGGCAAATCGACTGTAAAGCTGTATCTGCCATATTATTTGTATTACCAACATTACGCAGTAGAAGGATAGGATTACAGTTTGCTCTGTTCTGAATTGGAATTTCAGTCTAGCCCTGGTCAAGAGATCATGCTTTGGACCGAAATGTTAACTTGAAAACTGTTTTCAGCTTTCATATCTTCTTAGACAAAAATGCATAAAAGTGACAAAAAATATGAAACAGTACAACACTGCTAATACAAATAAGCATTTGGTGGGCAAGCACTGGATTTTTTGAATAGACTACAACATCTCAGTGACTGGATTCAGAAAAAATATGTGAAGAATGAAACATGCATACTT